GAACAACAGTTATGTATAGATTGTGACGATGTAAATGTGAAAATTCAAACTAAGAATTTATTCAACAATACAATTTTAAGGAATTAACAGCACAAAAAGTGCCAGATTATCAACTTAGAAGAAAGTAAACCACGTTAGTTTCATTTCACCGTCCCATTTGTGTACCAACGCCGTTGCTACAATAATGTAACATGTACACTAAAAATCGATATTGTTCGGTACCGTGCGTGAATGTTGTCTTTTTTTTTTTGCGTGGCTAAAAAAATATGAAAAACTATTAAACAGTGTTAATTATTTTTTTAATGTTTAAATTATTAATTATAGTTATTGCTACAGTACATTAAAATAAATCGCCAGGAAATAATCTTTAAATATTTTTTAATTGATTGAAATCTTTAAAATGATGCGGAAAAACTTTTAATTTAGTCCTATTTTATATAAAATTGTTTATTAAGGATAAGCAAATACTGTATTTCATTAAAATTTATATTGTCACCACTCTGTAGTATTATCTATGTAAGCATAATTATGTTAGTCACAACTTGCTGCGTATTAAAACAGCATCTCATTGCTTAGGAAAGTTTCGTTTTCCAAACGTGCATTACGCTATGATTTTTTGAATTCAAATGGTAAATTCTATCGTTAATTTTCCATTCCTCAACAGTTTTCAGAAAAGTAAAACTCGTTACTCCGAGCTCCCGTTTTTCGTTTGTCTGTATCTGAAAGAACCTGTGTACATGAACCATTTATCCGTGTAATAAAAGACTAACATCATAGCATGCCGTAATGGCCTAGATATTTGGGTTTTGTTTAAGCGATGTTCCAGAAAAGATTTTGTCCCGGTATAGAAAATATAATATTCAACCTAATATTTATATTTAAAATGTGTCAATTATTCCACAACGCAGACACCGGTACGCTGGCCAATATACACTTCGGAAATGTTGACACTATTAATAATTGATGGCAGTCCTGTTTCTTGCTCTGAATTTATGCATAATAATCCAACTTTTAAGTTTTGAGTTGTGACATTTTATATTTAGAAACTATTATCTGGTTTTTTATCTAAATTCACTAGAAGATTAAAATCTTAATTTTCGTTCTATATCAAAAAGGAAAAAACTGAAGAGATGCCATAATTTCTCACCGATTTTATAAGTTCGTTTTCTAAAGCAATACCTTTTTACATTTGGGGCAGTAACAATCTGTATCATATTATTGTTTAAAATGAGTAAACGTGTTGCATAACCCTTAAATCTTATAAGATTGGACAAGAATCAAAGAAATCACAGACACTCGGGGTGTGGCGCTCAAAACGCCTTTAAAATCCAAATAAAATGTATATTTGTCAAAGCTTGGGGAGCCACATTTGAATTTGTCGACAGATTTTGTAAATGGAGTAAAACGGCGATAATCTCTATGTTTATTTCGCCCGCCTGTTGCGATATTTATATTGACGTTGAAGTTTAAAATTGACCATCATCGTGAAGAATTATATCTCCTTTGTCGATGGGCCAACATTATTTTGACTAACATTTTTATCTTGTGTATTATTATAGACGTTTAAATATGAATTTATTTTCAAAACGGCTTACATTAAGATTTTGATAAATATGATCAGTACATGTGCTGGGATTGACAAATATACATTTTATTTGGATTTTAAAGGCGTTTTGAGCTCCACACACCAAGTGTCTGTGAAAAGAAATTAGCGGCGCAGCGTTTTGTTTATGTAAAATAACCGCGTTGATTCTTCAAATCGCACTTCGCCATGCATGTATTTTATAAAAGAAAATAATTCCTTAGACGGCATAAAAGTGAAATGTATGGAATAAATTTTAACTGCATACATGTACCAACATTATAAAAGTTGTTTGCAAAACAAACAAGATTGCATTTGAGAAAACTGCTATGCCACCGCATTAATACAACACTACGTAGGAACAGATTTTTTTGTTTCTATAAAATTTTAGAATGTCATAATGCATAGATCCCTGACCTATCTCATTCTTATTATCAGATTAGTGGTTAAATCTATTGTTAATCCAATAAAAGATCAGAGTATGTCAATGACAATGACAAAGAGTTTATTGATTCAAGGCCTCTAGCCCAAAACAACATATAGATAGCAATACAATTTCATACAATGGAATATAGTACATTATATCATTATGTTAAACAAAATCTTCTTACTATCTAGTGGTGTTTATCATATTTATTCATGTTCTAACACATAATAATCTTTTTCTTTCTTCAAAGGCATGGAACACAAGCTTTGCCAAATTATCTATAATATTTTCAGCCTGACAACTCATTAAGATATTAAATTTATGAATATTATGATTAACAAAATATTTGCTTGGTAAGTATTTTGATCTTAAATTTTCATAAGTCGTACATACCATTACAAAATGATATTCTTGTTCTACTGAAACTTTACATAAATTACATATACGCTCAGATCTCTCTTCTTGTCTATATCTATCTCTTTCAATATTTAAATCATGTGATGAGGTACGTAATTTTGCAAGTGCATTTCTAAATTTACGAATTAAAACAACAGATAAATATGTCTCATGGATAAATTCAGATTTATACAAACGATATGAATCTAACTTTTTACTTTGATTAATTTTTTTCTTGCCAGTTCTGCCTATATTGATCTCTCATTCTATTTGTAAATATTTTTAGGAACAATTTCTAATCATCAACTCCCTGGTTATTTCAAACATATCCAAAACCATTTGTATATAGTAGTTGTTTAATGTTAGTAGCCCAATTTTTCATTCCATTCCTATCATATATAAGTAACATATTATAACACATATCGATCATTAGGTAAACTTAATATCTTTAACCAATAATCTAACACTCTTGATGCAGTAGTTATGTACAATGGAAAACGGCCACAATCTCCTAAAACTGATGCATTTGCAGTTGATTGTTTAACACACATGTATCTTTTACATGCATAATTATGTACGGTTTCTATACTTTTATGTTCAATTGACCCCCACAATTCAGATCCATGGCATAATATTGGAACTTTTTTAGTATCAAATATATTAAAATATACATGTTTTTTAAGCTGACCATATTTGTAAAGATTTGATAAAATAGAAATAAGAACTCTTTTTCCTTTAATGGCTTGTTCATCAGCCATTTTAAATATTGACATCTGTCTTGACATTGTTACACCAACATATGAAAATTTAGAGACAGTTTCCAATAGTTTACCATCATAATATCATTTCTCTTTATTAGAAAGTCTACCTCCCTTTTTAAATACTAATATCTTGGTTTTTTTCAATATTCACCTCTAAGGCACTTTCATCACAAAAAGTTTATTAAGCAATCTTTGTAAACCTACAACTGTTTCATTTATAAGGGCTAAATCATCTGCAAAAAGTAGAGACAGAATTTCTGTATTTTCCGGAAATAACTGAACTCCTTTTATTTCACTATTTTTCAAATTTATGATATTAAAGTTCATTTATATAGATAATAAAAAGTGTTGGAGAAATCAAACAGCCTTGCTTAAGTCCATTGTCACAATTAAAATAGTTTGTCATACCTTCTGAAGTTCTAACACAAGATTTAACTGAATGATAAATAAATTTTATTGCCCTATATAATTTTCCTTCAATTCCATTTTTACACAGAACTGTCCAAAGCTTATCTCTATTAACCATATCAAAGGCTTTCTTTAAATCAATCATGCCTACATACAATTTACCACGATTGTTTTGTAACTGTTTTCTTACAATAGATTGCAAAATAAAAGCATTGTCAACAGTAGAATACCCTTCCCTAAACCCTGCTTGTCCCTCATTGATTATTCCATAAAACATTTACAAAAAAGTTAAGTCTTCTAGAGAGTATTCCAGTGTATATTTTTCCCAAAATGTTTGATAAAGATATTCCTCTATAATTATTTGGATTATTTCTATCAGCATTCTTATAGATTGTAACAATAACGGACTTTGTCCATGATTCTGGAAAAAAACCTTTATTATAAATTTTGTTTTAATCGTTATACAAAATAGGTAATAATTTGTCAATTGAGAAAATAAACAATTCAGGAACAGTACGATCTTCCCCACTACTAGACCCTTTTTTCAATGATTTAACAGTTTTCAAGATTTCTTTATATGAGATTTCTTCATTAAATATATCTTCCTTAATTTCATCAAGACTTTCAGAATTTAAACCTTCAACTACTTCTGTTATATCAATACATTCAATATCATAATTATTTGACTTAAACAATTCCTCAAAATGTTGTACCCAATTATCATAAGAAATAGCATTTGTAATTTGTTGTTTTTTCCTTGCCATTTTCTTAAATCTTTTCAAAAATGATTTAGAGTCTTTAACATTTTCAGTAAGTTCATCTAATTGTTTATTATAAAAATTTGTTTTACTTTTTTCACATTGACTTTTTAAAAACTTCCTAGCCTGTTTATATTATTAGTTATAAAGATCGTTGACAGGTTATATTGTCCTATATAAACGGCTGTTTGTAAATATAACCCGAGCCGCTAGGCGAGGGTTATATTGCAAACACCCGTTTATATAGGGCCATTAACCTGTCAATGATCTTTATAACGAATTTATAATACTGCACATATGTTAATTTACCTTTAAATGTAATAATTTTATTTAAAACGCGCTGGAAACTGTTCTACGATTTATTATTTTTGCGTCGTAATATTCCCCGTTGAGAGCCTCATAAGAACGGAATGTCCCGAATCGCCTTCGGAACTCTACGCTGTCATATGATCACGAGTCCTCGACGAACCAATAAGACGGCATCAATTTCCAGCATAGTTCAAAGGTCACATGTAAACGATTCAGTGTGTATTGGCGTGGAAAATTGGAAGCGGGAATCGTTAATTATTGGAATATAATTATATTTGGAGATTTGCTGCGTATACTGATGTTGATCAACATTTAATTTGGGCAGTAAGTAAATTTTGTAATACAATTTCAACTTTAAAACGTCTTTATTTTTCAACATTTTGCAAGAAAATTGGCAAGTTCAATCAATGACAATGATGGTGGTTCAATGTACTTGATAAACCTCTTGCATATATGTACATGAATGTTGCCTTTTAAATTATACTTTACAGTATAACATCTAATAAATCTTATTAATTGTTTTCACAATTCTTTCAATAGTTAATAGCTCAAAGAACCTACCAGTGTTTACATAATTTATTCTTTTATCCAAACAAAATAATACAAATTCAGTTAGATATATTTCCTAAGAAAGGTAAAATAAAATGTTTCAGCTGATGAGTGGATGGCATGCAACTATGTAATTATTAAGGTACAGTAAGTTCTTAAAATTATTAATTTATTATTTCATCATATTGCAAAAATACATGTGTACATAGTAGATCTAACTTGTTTTTCTTTTCTATTGTTGCAGATTTTGAGAGAGAACAATTTAACAAATGACAGTTTGCTCAGGATACTGGAAAAAGAAACAGACTCAATCTTCTGAATTTATGGAGAAGTTTTATATCTTAGTGAGTCACTCAGATGATCAAACCTGTCAACTTTAATGCGCAATAACTTTATAAATATAAACTCATAAACAGGTGAACAATACAAAAATGTGAAAACCAAACATATTAAATAATGGTAACACTTATTAAACAAAAAAGCCGCCCTCCCCAAAAAAAATCAAATTATTCAGCTACAGTATGGTTTGTGTAATCAACTTACATATAAAGTTTACATAAACTTGTAAACAATAATAGGTCAATAAGGACAACTGTAGATATTAAAACAAACTGCTGTTAACATGAAATAATATTGAAATTTTAAGTGTCTGTCAACTATTTTTTAACATCAGTAACTGTTGTTTGTCAGTTTATTTTTGTACAAAATTGAAATTTATTGTGACTCCTGACATATGGCAGTTGTTGAAAATTCCTTGACCTCTTTGGTTTGTTATCATTGAATTTCGGGCTGGTGCAAACACATCTGGCAGTGAATCAAAATCTGAGAAGAAATCTTCAGGATTGAAATCATCCATTGCATACAATGCATTCCTCCCATTATCTGAATCCAATACAGACACTGAAATTTGGTAATAGAATATATTTATAGAAAAGTTAACCTATGAATACATACATTTTTTTATAAAAATCATTTGCTATTTTTACTTGTCTTCACAAAATTGATTTCTAAATTCTATACAAATCTATTTTAATTTCTTTTAAATTTTTATTAGGAAAAGGTTTGTTATTATGTTTCTAATAAGATAAACTCAATTTCTTTAAAGAATGGATATTTTCGTATTTAGATGTACATGTATTCTAATTGAAGTACAAATTTTATCTAGATTATTTGCACTGACCTGAATTTGATTGTAAGTTGCGTTTGAATGGCACCAGGCTACATACATTCTGTTCTGGATTTAATGAACTACTACAAGATGGCAGTGTGCGTAATGTATGGCTGGTACTTGGCAGCATTGGTAGATTCTCCTGGCCTATGATTTTGTTGGAAATAGCATTTCCCATTTGTTGTTTCTCTGTATCTGATACCCTTTGGTATAAAGCTAGGGACGATGTCGATCTGTGTCCGGACACTGCCATGATTTGCGGCATAGAAAATCCCTGCCCAAGGATAGATACACCAGTGACCCGAATTGAATGGTTCGTATATACTTGCGAAAGTGGCACTTTTTGTGATAGACATTTCAGAAATGATGCAAGTTTGTCTCTTCCCATTGGTCTATTTTGATACCAGCTTTCATCTCCATATTGGTAAGCATCTCTTGGGTATTGCCATAAGCGATTGTTGGATGGATTCAATTTTGATGTGTATAGCTCATACAGTCTTACTGGGCATAGGTCACTATTAATCTTATCTTCTGGCATGTGACCTGTTATTAATGCCTTTTGTTTTTCTTGATGGTTTTTTGTTAATTCATCTTCTGACTTATAGACATATCTAGTTCCATCAGGGTATTTTCCAATTTGAAATGTGCTTTTTGTCATCTGATCGAAATTTTCATTTGCTCTTCTACAAAAAAATAATCTTATATTCATCTGCACTCTATTAAGTAGGCCAGATGGTGTATTTGGAGTGAGATATACACTCATGTACAGCTTTGCTAGGTCATCATCTGTAATCTTAGGGTAGTGATTTATAGATCCTTGCCCATTTTGTTTTAGCTCTTTTAAAGCTGTTTTCATGCATTCATTTGCATCCAAAAATTCTGGACCAGTGATAATGTCAAAATGTTTATTGAACGGTGGAGATTTCAAGTATCTATTCAGACTATGCCGAATGTTTTCAAGTGTTGAGGTTTTATATGCCTGCCCATTCACAGTACGGGCATCCGTATAAAAATGACTCAATGCTTCAGCTAATTTTGTTTCATCAAACTCTTCAAAATTAGTTTCAAGACCCTTTTCTTCAAGATATTTCCTAAAGGTTTCAGCACAGTGAGTGTTCATTTTTTGAGTGTTATATGGCACAGTTTTTTTTCTCTTCTCTTCAATTTCTTGATCAGTGTGACTTGCAAATCTTTTCTTCATATTTTAATCAAATGAAATACCTAAATCAAAAAGAACAATTATTATAATCCCAAAAAATTATTTCCAGTCCTGTCCTATTATCGACTATTTTTTAAATATTGCTTAGTAGGCTTGTGTATAAATGTAAAATGTCAAATCAATTTCCTTTGCTTTTAGACCAGCATACTGTACAGTACATCATTATGAATATTTTTTTCTCTTCAAAAATTCAAAAAAGAAAAAGAAAATACAAAGAAATGTACAAGTATTTTTAATTTGAAGAAATGTTTTCACAGTGAATATTTTAACTAAATACATATTTTAACGCTTCATTTTATTATGGAACATTGCATAAATCTGAAGGCAATCTTAATTATATATTCTTCAAGATAAATATTAAATTAAATTCAGATGCATGCTGCTTTAAATAGTAAATTTAATAATTTTAGTACTTATTAAAGTTAAATGATTAATCAGGAAATAAGCTGCTTTAAATATAAATTTTATTTGTAATAAGTAAATGTAACTTTTTTCATATATGATTTTGCTAGTTAAAATTGTTGATTTTTATTTAAAAATTATGTAACAAGTCATGTTTTGTGTGCCTTCAACTTTTTATAAAGTATTACTTTAAATATAAATATTTTTTTCTAAATTATATGTTCTTAATATATAAATATTTTTTCATGTATTATGTATAATTGAGACTAATATAGCCATATAACCAAAGTTATATGTTCTTTATATATAAAAATGATTGTTCATATATTATGTATAATTCAGGGTAATAGCCATATAACATTTAAACTTAGACTAATAAGTCTTAATAAGTTTAAATTAAATAAGTAAATGTATATTGACATAGCAAATTTAGAAATTTACATTATGTAAGTTAAGATCAAGCAAACAGTTGTTCATAAGATTTTTTTTGTTTTGTTGTAATGACCTTTCATCTTCTTCAGCCTTTTTTTTAAATTTCATTAAATTTGGTTAAAAATTGTTTTTATTTGTTAATTTCAAAATATGAAAATCGGTAAATTTTGTGCTTAAAAATTAAGTGGTTAATTTTTTAAGTTTGTCAAAAGTTATTTATTAAATAAGGGGAAAGAATATTGTATGGTTCTTGTGAAAGTATGTTTGATTTGTTTTTATTAAAGTAGTAAACAATTACTTTAATTGTTGTGTTCATTGAATGTTGCATTTCCTTGTTGATCTTGTCTATCATATTTTATTCAGTTCTCCTGTTTAGTTTTGTTTTGTTTTAAATTTGTTATATTTAAAGATATCCATGCTCATGCTTGAGTAAAATATTTTAATAACAGAAATTTGTTTAAATTTATGAATTTCTTACTGACTTTGCATAATTTAAATAGCAGAATGAATACACTATATATTGGTATTTTCTTTTAGAAAATGCCAGTTTTTTTTAACAACACTATATAATCTTATTGTGACTAACTATTGTGTGTTGAATTTTAAACATTTTTACTTTGTTTGAAGTAAAAAAAAATGTTGGCAGGTTATATATAAGCAATCAACAATATTTACTAATATCAAATTTGAGCATAGAGCAGTATATTTTTAAAGTTCATGTTATATTGATGTTAACCAGTACTTTTCTTTTTTGTTCTATTTTTCACATATTTACCATACTAATTAGTTTTGCAATGGCCATTTTGTCTGTACACATATATTTATGTGATGTAATGCCGTTTGCTTTATACAATTATATTGTAACTTTAGTTTGTATTACTTTATCACAGTCAATGAAAGTTGAATTTTTTTATTTGTTTTTAAAAGAATATTATATTTTGCTTCATTACTAAATTTATTTTATTTGTACATCTATTTAATAATGATCATGCTTGCAAGAGGCTTCCATAAAATATTTTCTGTTGTGTTCAACAGCTTAAGTAAATTCAGTATTGAACCTTTACTTATTGAATATTTTTTCTGCAATAATAACATAAAGTTTGTTTACAGTATACTATACAGTACATGATTTTTAATTCAATTTTGAATAGATCTAGTAAGTGAAATTAAATTCTAAAATAAGTTTGTGACAGTAATTCCAATTGTTTTCTACAATTTTGTATGCAGTACACATACATTTATAAAACAGAACTATATCCTTGTCATTTTTATTTAGATGTATGTGTTATTATATCACTTTCCATTGAAGAATATCTACATGTACTATGATGTTTTAACAATATTGTTCTGAAGTTCAACATTTTGTCAATCCATAATAAAAAAATATTCTTAATAACAAAGTATGTTTTGTCATTTATTTAGCATTAAATGCATAATATACTTCATTCCCAGGCATTTCCACCTTGTTATTATATCCATTCCTGGAGATGGTAGTTAGAATCTACTAATTTTGTAAAATTGGTTGACAGGCTTCAGTGTCAATATTGTATCAGGCCAATACTGTCATTTGATAGACTGGATTTAATGTATCAATATGTACATAAAAGACGAAAGGGTTAACAGAATGGTTACAAAACACCAGTCACACACAAGTGATAAAAAAACATGTTGATGGCAAACTACCTTCTTTTTAAATAACCCCTTTTCAGGATACCTTTCAAATTTGACAAAGATCGTCTGCACTGTGTAAGCTCGATCAAACAAGCGCTTGGTCAACAAGAATAAAATACTGTTCGTTTCTATGAATAAAACAGCTGAAAGATGAATAAAAACACAAAGCAAATAGCTGTTTACATCAATTTATTTTCTTAAAAAAAGAGATTATTGACCAATTAATCAGTCGTAGTCGAAATTCTCGCTGTAAACTTTTCTAGCGGGGCTAAAAAGCGATTTTATGGCCGCCATATTGTTTATAGTATCTAGACCAATCAAAATGGGGGTTTGTCGGGGGTTCTTGAAGGGAAGCCGTGTGTATGGAAGAAAAAGCCGTGTATAGGAAAAATGTAAACGTCACGATTATCCAATGAAAATTAAGGTAACAAAGGTGCAGTATTATAATCACTTAAATAACTGTCATTTGGATTTCTTCTATACTCACGTAAGCGCTTATTTCTCTCAAATTTTGCGGTTTTACAGCTTTGATCAAACCACCCTGGTTGATAATTACTGGATATTTTATTTACTTGTTTGCAACATTCACCTATTTTAGAAGAATTTCAACAATTTCAGAGTTTATTTGATTTTCGTCCACATTAGTACATCTACATTCTCGAATTAAATTTTCAACAACATTGTCATTGAGTAATAACTCGATATTTTCCAAAAATTGTATTTTACGTTGTTCTGAAAATCTATATCTAACAATTTGTTCATTACTCAGTCTTACCATCGTATTATTTCTACATAGATTTTTTATTTTTATAGAAAATACAATAGGCATATGACTTGATTCACTCCTTGTTCCTATCTCAAATGCACTAATATCATCTATAGTGTCATGGCTCACAACTAAATAATCAATAACACTATTACCATTTTGCCCTATATAAGTAAAAGCCCCATGGTTAGAATCATTAAACAATCTTCCATTTGCAATAATAAAATTGTAACATTTACAAAAATTTAAAAAATCTTTGCCAAATTTATTTACACCTGTATCGTTACTAACCCTCTTTTGTATATATTCATCATCTAATATATCACTATATTCATCATAAACAGGAGCATTATATATGCAACCAAGATTATCAATTTCCCTAATACGACTGTTTAAATCTCCCACAACAAATACATCTACATTACATTTTTCTTGTATTTCTAATAATTTATGTTCAAGAAGGTCACTACCTTTAAGTTCTTGTCTATCATAGTAGGGTGAACCATCCGGAGGTAAATAAACAATACAAATAACTTTATCTTTTAAGCTATCAATAAACAAATTTTTGTCAATGACAATAAATGAACAAAAATCACAATTTGTTACAACTTATTTTATAATCATATTCAAAGATTTCTTAATAAAAATACTTATTCCTATCATTGGACGACCATATTTTGAATGTTTTACACCTTGTATAAAATATTCATTATATTCATACAATTCATTTGATAATAATTGGTTACTTTCTAACAACCATGTTTCTACAAAACCTATAATATAAAAAGATTTAAGATAATCAATCAAATCTTTATCAAATATCTTATTGTTCAATCCTTCAATATTCAAGCAAACACACTTAAGTTCTGAAAGCTGTAATATGCTTTGGCCACACCCCTATAAAACACCATTATCATTGCCAGAAGCATTTTTGTTTACACTTTTGATTCCTGCAAATGAATTATCACATTAATCGTTTATAACCATGTATAAATCTGTATTTTCCTCATCAGCTCCAACTTGCAATTCCCAATCCATTTGCTTTCTTTGCATGCTTGCTCCATATTCTTCACTATAATTACTTTTCTCCAACTTTTCACTATTAACACTTTCCTTTCGTTGATTATTGTTTTCATTTACCATTTTCCAAGCAGGTCTAATCATAAATCGCCCTTTATAGTAATATCCGATTTTACCTTCTAGGAATATATCAATGTTCTTGAGTCTAGTGAATTTGGTGGTGAAGGTCATATTTCACACAGTCTAAATTTCTTGACTACATCAAAGTACAACACAGTAAGACACTTTGTCAAAATCTAGGTCAGCTGATATCAAAGTTCACTTTACATCTTAATCTGTGCACATGGTTCAAATTTCAAAGCTGTACATCAAAGGACAAAAAAGTAGGTCACATCATCAAAATCTAGGTCACCTGATATTAAAGTTCAATGTTACAATGTTACAACTAAAACTGTGCACATGGTCAAAAGTAGGTCACTGTCCCCTTGGACAAGACAAAATTTTGACCCAAGGGTTTAATTAAAAACGATCTTGATACAGGTCCACCAAACAAGCTGTAGCTTTATCCCATTCATTGTTTTATTTGCTGTTTTTACTATGTTTACATAATGAGAATCACTGCCCCCGGGCAGGGGAAAAATTGGAACGACTTTGGTAGAGGGCCTAAAGATGATATTATAAAGCAAACATC